CGCGCCCTGCTGCTGAGCCCGCCTCGCGGCCGTCCGCCACAGCCGCGCCCGCCGCCGCGCGGCGCGCGCCACCGGTGTCGCCCTTACCGAGGGCGGGGCGGCGGTGGCGTCCTCACACATGTGTCGCGGGCGACTCGGGTGGCACAGCGCCGTGCGCAGGCCGCTCTCGAGTCACCACGCGTGGGCAAGATGAGAGAAGTCGCCCCGCGGGGCTGGGGTCGTGGTCTGTCGGGCCGCTAGCCCAAAATGGGGCGCCTCGGACCACAACACCTCGGAGGAGGAGGAGGAGGAGGAGGAGGAGGAGGAGGAGGATGGGACGCGCGGCTTCGCGAGGTGCGTGCTCGACCGAGGGTTCCCCAGGAGGTCCCCCACCCTAGTACTGACTGGGCCCTGCGCCATTTAATTTCGGAGATCAGAAGAGGTCTGGTGCATTCGACGCGGTCTGCCCGTCAGCGCGGGGGGGAAGGGGGGCGAATCCAAACACGTAGGCCGCTGCTGTCGCGCCGCATGCAACGATCGGCAAGCCGCACGCCGAAGGTCTCTCTTGCGCGTAGCCGACTCCGCGTGCTTTTCCCGGTCCTTTGGTCCTCCTCTCTCCTCCTTCTGCGTCTCCCTCCTCCTTGCTTCTCCCTCCTCCTCTTCCTCCTCATCCTCATCCTCCACGTCCCCCCTGTAGCCATTTTGACTCGAGCTGGCTCTGCTTCGTGAGCCCTCCCGCGGGGGCGTGCGCAGCTGGGCATTGCTGCAGTCGCGCCGGGCTGTTCCGTAAGGCAGCAGTTGGAAGTTGTAGAGGCGCAGGGCTTGGTCCAGGCCGCAGCGCACGGTGCAGCAGCAGGAGTTGCAGTTACAGCCCGGCGCGCCCTCGCGGCGGCGGTCGCTGCGGCTATCCGCGCTGTCCTGGCTCCGGCCACGCACGCGCTCGACGTCGCGGTTGACGAGGAGGTCGAGGCGAGAGTCGAGCGGATCAAGGCCGCCTTCGTTGAGAAAGTTCGGGCCTCAGTGCGGGTTTCCGAGTCGCAGCCGAGCGGAGCGCGCCGCGCTGGGGTGCGGCGCTGACGGTCTGCCGCGCGGTGGGCGGGAGCCTTGAGCGTGGAGCTGCCGACCGCCGAGGCCGAGGCTAAGGTTGTGTCGGGCCTGTCCCTCTACAGGAGGAATAGTCAAAAAATAGTCGGGGGACGATAGTTGACTATTTTTGTCAATTTCGGAATATGTTTAAAACAATTTCCAAGTTTTCGTCCAAAATCCGCCTGTAGGGGGACATGCCCGACCTGAGGTCATAACGGTCCAGCGGTGGTTCCAGGCGAGTGGCCACGAGGAGGGGCCCTTCTCCACGGCGCTCGCCGACTTCTCACACGCCTCAAAGAGCGGGGTCTCCCCTTGTTGTCCCCACTCTTGGACTTCGGCCCTTCCCCACCCCCATTGCTGCCCTGGAAAACGAGGAGCGGGAGGGGAGCCGAAGAGAGCGAGAGAGGCGCGCGCGCGCGAGCGCTCCCGCGTGTGCGCGCCCCGCCCTCGACGGCAACATATACACGCAGGCGCCCCGCCCAGGGGGAGTGGGAGGGAGTGTGGGTCGTCGTTGTCAGATCTGCCTGACCCCCCTTTGGGAGCGGCCTCTGCCCGAGGAAGGCCCAGGCCACCCTCCCCCATGCAGACTGCTCAGACAGGCGCTGGCCTCCCACGACTCCCGCCGACGGGGAACCCGTCGGCCCACTGTGGTAGTGCGGGGACCACTGTGGTACTACGGCCCACTGTGGCCTGCTCAGAGCAGGTTCTGCATCTAAATGCACCCTTCAGGAAGGTTTCGAAGGTGTCACACGTGGAGGCCACTCCCCAAGCGACTTAATCCTTGATCTTTAAATCCTCGTGACACCGTTCCTACACCGATTCTGTGACACATGTCGCTGCCCGGGCCCAGGGTTTTGGAATAGTGCCTTGCAGGCTGGGGGAGGCTGCGTGCCATCGGTAGCCAGAAGTTTGAGTAATGCGTTGGATCGCGCGTTCCCCTGCGTTTCCCGCTCCCCCTCACCAACAGATCGCACGGACAAATGGAACAAGGTTTCGGTATGTCGGGGCCGCATTCGGGCCCCAGGAGTTTGCCCAGGGGGAGTTTCGGGTTCGAGACAAAATTATATCTTCGGAGATCTGGGCTCTGAAAGGAGAGCATGGATTCCCTTGGGTCGGGAAAGAAACACGACGGCAGGTGTTTTTGCGCTTTTGGCGTCGTGGGGCCCTGGCCGGGCACGGGATGACAGATTGGCCCCAGTGAAGGGTTTAAGATTTCGGGGGGACCGCGCATTGAAAATGTTTCGACATCGGAGGTCTGGGAATCAGCACGACGGAGCGGGGTCTTGCAGGCGTTCTGGTTCCCAGGGCCTTTGCTTGGGTCTGAAGGGCGGCGAAACTCAGGATGAAAAGCAGGTCCTCGGAGGAGGGCCCGTTTTCATCAAGACCACTTCCTCTCAGACTCCAGGCCTCTTAGATGGCCTCTACAGACCAAGAGGTCGAGGATGAAGAGGTTCGAGGATCAACGATCGAGGTTCGGAGAAGAGGCCCACCCGCCCTCCTCCAGTAGGAGGCGGAGGAGGAACATGAGGAGTAGGAGCGTCGAGGACCCCACAAACTGTCCTTGCTCCTCGGGAGGTGGAAGAGGAGGAGGAGGATGAGGAGGAGAGCATTCGAGGATCGAGAATCGAGGGGGCTCCCTGGCTGTCATGGCTGGGTCCGCTTCGACATCCGAGTGGGAACGCACCCCAGGACATGTACGGCGGACTCACGGCGTCGCGGTTTTGTTCCATTTGTTTTCTCGGTTTCGGCCTCCTGTGGGCCGTTTCGGACCCTGGGATCCCATGTCGCGGAGATAGGCCTCCTTGCAGATTGCAAGCAAAATGCCAGCCAGACTTGTAGATTGCGAAGGCCTTATGGCTGGTGCCGCCGACCCTGAAGGGGGGCGTCGACGACGACGGCGGCGGTGGCGGCGGCGGCGGCGGCGTCTTTCTCCTCCTTTTCCTTGATCTTGCAGGTTGCAAGCAAAATGCCATCCAGTCTTGTAGAATTATAGACTTACCAGGACAGCTTATCCCTCGACTTCCTCCCTCCTCCTCCTCATGGTTCTTTCCTTCCCCATGCTCCCTCCTCTCTCTCCGGTCCCTCTCTCCTGTTCCAACTTTTTGCCGCCCTCCCCTACCCCCCCTCCTACGTCCCCAGTCAGGCCTTAAATCGAGGGGAGGGGCATGGCGTAGCACGCGTCTCTGCAGGGGTACCCCTGCCTCGTTCCTCGGGGCCGCCCGTGACCGCGAATTGTTCACAGCCTCCTGCTGCCGTATCCTTCCTCATCCTCATCCTCCCTCATCCTCCATTTCCTGCCTCCTCCTCCTCCTCCTCCTCCTTCCTCCTCCTCCCTCCTCCTCGTCCTTGATCTTTGAGATTCGAGTCGCTCCCTCCTTCCGTGCCTTTCGTCTTCCTCATCCTCGTGACTGACGCCGGCTCCCGAGCACCGCTGGCCCCTTGGGCCGCATGGGGCCTGGGCCTGGCCGCCCCCGCGATGAGAGCCTGCTGCGGCGGGCAGAAGAACCGCAGAGGCGACAAAGGCGGGGGGCCGGGGGCGAGTCGGGGTCGGGGCTCAAGAGGCGGGGGGCAATGCAAACGGGGGTCAGTCAGATCGCCGGAACTTGAACGGATCCTGCAAAGCCAGGGGCGCACTGAACCAGGTTGGGGTGCAGGACCCTGCAGGATGCTGCAGGATCTTGCGAGGCCTGACTGACCCGGATTTGCATTGACCCGGGCCAGTGCGTCCCCGAGAGGGAGGGGGAGTCGGCTACACACAGGAGTGACCCTTCGCCGGAGTGACCTTTGGCGCCCGGCTTTCGGGGGGCGCGCAGCGGCCAAAATTGATCACGCAGGCCGCTGGTGTCTCGCGCATTGCAACGATTGGCTGGTCGAGCACCAAAGGATACTCCCGTCTAGGAGTTGCATCCTCACCCTTTTAGCGGTTCCTGGGGCGCTCTCGTCGCCACGACGGGATTCCCCCTCAAATTCTGGACGACCGAACGCCCTGGGACTCGTTCGAGGATCGATCTTGACACTCGCCGATCCAGGTGTTTTCGCGAGGCCTCGGCGCATCTCTGGAGGCCTCCCCTTTCCCCCTCCCCCCAGGGGGCCCGGGCACAACACATGGGGAGAAATGATGGCAACGCATTGCGTCGGAACACGATTTGTGGGCACACCGCACGAGCAGAAGTACGCTTTTCCTCGACTGAATGAGCGGCGCCCCGGCGCCCACTCCCAGCCCCGCGCGAGGCCGCCCTCACGGGCAAAATGGGAGTCGCCTCGCCGCGCAGCGTGTAGCACAGCGCATCACAGCGTGCCTCCGCGAGTCAGCATACAGCGCAGCATACCGCAGCACGCCGTGCGCCCTGCACGGGCAGGATCCCCTGACGGAGCGCGTACGTCTCTGGCGTTCGCTCGTTCGTCAGTTCCCTCTCTACTCCGTCGGGGGCAGGGCGAGAGGGGGGGGGTGGGGCCAGTGAACGCGACGAAATCTGTCGCATGCGGCTGGTTTGGCAAACTGGGCAGGCTCCCCGATGCGTGCTCGCCGTCGGCGCCAGGAGGCGCTGAGAAAACCAGCTGCATGCATGCATGCAGCTGGGTCCCCAATCCTCCTTTGACCAACCTCCCCATCTCGTCCACCCCAGTTCCTTCCTCTCCGTACCCTCCCTTCTTCGCATCCATTGCGCCCAGATGCCCCTGGATGTGCACCTGGAAGGTCCCCGCCCAGACGAACCCCAGATCCCCGATCTACGCCGGGGCGTCCCCCCGCCCGCCGTTCTTGGGAGTTGCTTATGAATGAGGGGGGCGATATAGACGGAGGCGAAGAAACTTGCACTTTTTGAGCCCCAGGGAGCCCCCTTTGGGGCCCACAAGGTGCACGACAGGTGCCCCTTTTTTCACCCCCCATTCATTGCCCCCCCCCAAGTAGGCAACGCCCGCCGCTCCGCCCGCAGATGCACGCAAGACGGTCCCCAACGATTACTCGGACGCGGTGTTGTCCGCGACGCCTCTGGCGAAGACATCGGAGGGTGCGCCGCGGCCTTCCCCCCTCCTGGCGGAGTAGCGCGCCCGTCGGCAGGACACGGGGAGCAGCAGGGGAGAGAGAATCACCCAGGGGGGGGGGGGGGACGAAGATTTGGGGTTTGGGGCCCGACAGGGTCCGGTTTGAATCTGGAACACTTAATTTTCAAAAGGGGCTCGTTTGTTCCTTTGGTTTGCATGCGTTCCGCAACCTTTTTGGCGGCGAGCCCCCTGATCTTCCTTCGGACTTCCCAGACTTACTTGGAACAAGAAGGGGCTTCTTCGTTCCTGGTGCATCATTCCTTAGGGCAGGCCGAATACTGTAGGTTGTCGGACGCCGTCGTCGGTTCGGCGCGCCTCTCCGGCCTCGGGGTGGGCTCCAGCCGTTGCGCCTCGCCTCGCCGACAGCGCTCCTGGCGTGCCCGCGCCCCGAATAGCCCTGGGAGACCCACACGATGCCCCTAGAAGCCATAAGTCGGGGGCGACGAGGGGGGCGAACAGCCCAGGGGGCGGGCATTACACGTATTCGCCCTGGAGCCTCGCCGAAGGCATGGACCATCGGCCCTCTTGGATTTGTGTATTGTTCTCCCCTGGGCTATTCGCCCCCGTCGTCGCCCCCGAGTAATGCGGAGCAGGTCGCGGCAGGTCGCGGCAGGTCGCGGCAGGTCGCGAGGCGCTGCGCGGGCGCTCGGCCAGGCCTCCCCATGCCTTCCCTGCCGTCCACGCTGCAAGCCGTCCTGCTCATCTCTCGGGCTGTCGCCCGGACTTCGTCCTTTCTCTTCGGGTCGCCGGTCGTCTAAATCCGCGTGGGCCCCGACAGTTAATGTTTATGTGTTGGTTTATTCCTCCACTCCTGGAACACCCTGGAGCATCCTGCTAGAACCCCGGAGGAGGAAGATACGGAGGGTCAGGAGGTAAGGAGGAGGAGGATTGCCCACGAAGGGCGGGGGGGCCAGGTAGAAACGTCAATCGCCCAGGCTTGCTTGCGTAAAAATGCTGGGGGGCCAGCGGCATGCCTCCCCACGCAAGGCACTCAGTCGAGCTCGGCCTTGGCGTCTGTCGCGGGGCCCTGGCAGCTCCCCTCTCTTCCAGGGCCTGCTCACAGATTTCCCTCCGGCTCCGCTCGATTTAAAAGCATCGAAAGCTCGCATGATGACCGTAAGAACCACTATTTTGAAGTCGGGCGTGTATTCCTAGACAGTCCAAAAACAGTCAGGGGAGGATGTTATGAGTATTTTTGATTGTTCAGAGCATGTGTTGACAATATTTTATTTTTCGTCCAAAATTCGCCTGTAAGAGGACACGCCCGACCTAACACTATTTCAGCGGCTAGCTCCCAAATCAGCGGAGTCTTTACACCTGACTCAGGGCGACTTCGGCCACGCCGAGACCGTCTCTCCACCTGGCTTGGGCCACCACGGACGTAGCAACGCATCCTCGCCGAGCTTGACTCCAGGGCGAGTCCAGTTTCTGGAGCGGCGCAGTCGATTCCTGGCAGTCGGGGCCTCATTTCCTGAGAGGGGCTGGAAAGCGAGGCAATGGTTCTTCAAGCCTCGTTGGCCTGGCTCCACTGCATTATGCCTTCGCCACGCGCAAAGCAGAACCGGCCTGGTCTGGGGTCAGGAGGAGGAGGAGGAGGGGAAGGAGGAGGAGGAGGAGGAGGAGGAGGAGGAGGGAAGAGGAGGCAGGGATGAGAGGCGGCGAGGAGTGCATTTGGAATTGAGACGCTACCGCGTCAATGAGGTCAGACCACCATCTCCACCCTCTTCCTTCCGTCTGGGGGTGTTGTTTTCTCCGAGGCCCCGCCTCCGACTCCTGGGCGCTTGTCTCCCGACCTTTTCGCGGGCCCCCTCGGGTGTTCCGCATTCCCGAGGCTTGCCCTGCGACGGAACGCCTTCTCAGGGGCCTGGCCGATCCATCCCCTCCTTCCTCCCTGTCTCGGAGAAGGCAGGGGTGTCAGCACAGAGAGACGACGGGGGAAAGTATGAGTCATCAGCGAGAAAAAAACACGCAGGGCTGAGGTCGAGGGGAGCAGCAGTCAGGGGAATCGAAAGAGAGGCAGAGACAAAAGTAACGACTGAGGCAGGCAGAGACAGACAAACACACGGAGACGGAGAGAGACCTGAAGGATCGCCGCGGTAAGTTGTCTACGTATGGCAGTCATGGGAGGGGTGGCTTGCCCTCTTTCGCCTCCCACACATTATCTTCCCTCCGCCTCATCATCCTGCTTCATGCCCCCCCGCCTCCAGCCCGCCTACAATGTCACCCCCCTCTCGAACTTCCCCTCCGTCTCACGGGACCTCAGCTACTCAGACTCACTTTTGTCCAGCCTCGCAATTTTTGGATTTCGCCAGCCACTTTGCACTCCAGAGGTCCAGAGTTGCTTACTAGCGAGCAGGCTGCTCATGAATGTGATCCTTGTGTATCCTTGTAGACCTTCCTTTGAGCTTGCGCAGTTAGCGCATTGATCGTGTGTGTGTGTGTCTGTGTGTGTGTGTGCTGCACGCGCGCGCGCGCCCGCGTGAGCAGCACACGACTCCTGGTGCCTCTTCGACTCCTGCCGCCCCCCGCGTGCCCCCTGGGTCCCCTGGCGCCCCCTCGACTCCTGCCGCCCTGGGCTGCTCGCTCGCTCTGCCGTGACCCCTCTCAGGGCCCCGTGGCCGCTCGGCCTGCTCGTCACCTGGTGAGCGGCGCGCAGGCCACATCGTGTTTCCTGCAGTTGGCACGGCTTGCGCCTGGAGCCCCCAGGCGCCCTCTCGGCACCCGCCTTCCTGGGAGACGCTCTGAATCACCTGGGGCGCGCTCTCGCCCCCGAGGGCCCTGCTTGCCTCCTCTGCTGCCCGGCGCTCGCCAGGCAGTGCGAGGTTGCACCACTTACGGAGGGCAGGGTAAGGGGGGAAGCGAGAGGGGCCAGGGCTTCTCAGATGGTGGCGCGGTTTCTCGGAAGCTCTCTAGCCTTCTCCGAAGACAGAGACGGCTCCTCAGAAGGCCGGAGAGCTTCTGAGAAGCGAGGCCGCTTTAGAGAAGATCAGTCCCCTCTATCTTTCTCCTTGGGTTTGCCGCCGAGGGTAGTTTGCGCCATTCCTCCCCACTCTGCTCGAGGGGCTGTGGCGGGTGTCAGTGCCGCCCCCTCCATCCGCCGCTGCAGTGCGATTGGCGCGGGATCATCGCTTCTGCCTTCCGATGTAATCAGTGCCGCCGCCCCGTCCCGCGCGGCGCCCGCGCGGTCACCCGTCTTGTGTCGCGCTTTCGCTCTCCATTTGTCTTCCGTCTGCCACCGCTGCTCGCTCCTGCCTTCTCTGCTCCCGGCCTTGGCGCTGCTGCACCGTCCCGACGCAGAGCGAGGGGCGTGCGAGTGTGTGTGTGTGTGAATGTGTGTGCGCGTGTCCATGCGCGCTTGTGCTGTTCCAGATTCGGGGCTAAGGGAGTTTCGGATGAGGTGGTCATGCTTGTCCAGCTGCTGGCCTGCCCTGTGCATGTTGCAGGCGGCTGTTTGGTTCGAAAGGTCGCCAACACAATGTTCACTTGTTCTCTGAGCTTCTCTGGGTATTCAAGTGGCTTGCGCCAGTCGGCCGACCTCCAGAAAAGACAAGATGAATGCACGATCGCGGAAGTCATTCGGAGCATTTGGATTTCCGGCTCTCTTGGGTCCTTCGGAGCCGGGCGGTCTACGTCGGAAGGTTGTGTTGGCTTGGAAGACACGATGTCATGTTCGTTGCCCGTTTCTCGAGCAGGATTCGGGGCTCTGGGAAAGTAGAGATCAATGGGGAAGGTTGGGGCCGAGCATGTCGCGCGCGGTCTTACCCTTGGAAATGTGGGTAGGCGATCTCCGCGTCTATGCGTGCGGGAGTCTGTTGGCAAGGCCCAGGGAAGGTTATGGGAGGCAATCGTAAAGCGTTCTGGGAACAGCTTCGGAGTGTTGTCGGGGTCTCGTGACGGCCACTGGGGGGCGTCCACGGAGTGTGGAGATGCAGTGAGAGTTTGCAGCGTTCGTGGAAGGAATGAAGTGGGTCAAGAGGCGCGTGGATGCATATGAGGGGCTCTTTGGATGATTCTCAGGGGCATCTTGGAGGGCTCATTGTGGCACCTGCGGGTCTTTGTTTAGTTTCTTGGGGGCTCCTTGGGGGCCCGTTTGGGGCTCTTGGAGGCCTCTTGGCGCCTCTTGGGGGCGCCTCGGGGGCCTCTAGGGTGCTTGGGGTCATCTTGAGGAGGAAGGCTCGAATTGACAGTTCGTATTCCCCCTCTTGGGCCCCTCTTGGGGCCCAAGAGGGCCTCTCTTCGGCCGTCTTCGGGGCCCCGAGCCGTCTTTGGGTGCTTTCGGGGGCCTCATGGCCCGTCTTGGGACGGTTTTGGGGGCCCTTTGGGCCGTCTTGGACGTTGCCAACACGAAAAAGGCGAGCACTCTAAGAAAAGTTCTTCCATGAGGAATGAGGCAACCCTTGCTTATATCGGAGGTGGAAAGACCTCCTACCCTGACACGTCGATTAAGGAATTGGCCGTTTTCGGTTCGCGAGAGGGCGTCGCGGCCGTCATTTTTGCGGGTCCAGGTCCGCCGGTTTCGGTCCCAGGCCGTTGTCACTAAGAGGAGGTTCACTAAAGGGAGGTTTGTCCACCGCCGATTATAGGGCCTCTCTCGGCGGTTCTCTGGAAGCACTTTTCGGCCGTCTTCGGGGCCTCGTGGGCCGTCTCGAAGCCATCTTGGACCGTCGTGGGGCTACCCTGGGCCGTCTCGACGCTCCCTCGGACTGTCTTGGCGCTCTGTGTGGACCCTCTTGGGCTGTCTGGGAGCTCTTTGGAGGCTCCGGTGGCCTCAGAGGGGCGTTGGGGAGCCTCAGACCCGCCCCCTACCCTCTAATGGGATTTGGGACCCTGGGGAAGGGGAAAAGGGGGAGGTGGACAGTCAAAAGTCTCACACGCCTTTCACCTCTGGCAAGCGGGGGTCGGCGGATTTGCCTCGCTGGACGCAGCGACGTGCTACAGTAGATGTATCCTTGCATTTATGGATGCATCTGCTTACACAGGGTGTTTCGACCCTGAGTTCGGCGACATCTGGGAGATACCAGACGAGAGCTCCCTGAAGGAGGCTTTCAATGTTCAGCCGTCTGTTCGTTGCGCTGGTTCATGAGTTTCTTTGTATGGCATCCTCTTGTTGACGGCATACCCCTCATGTTAAGTTGAGTCGACGAGTTCGTATTTGTCTACATTGCGCACCTTCCCATTTCCTCCATCCCCTGCCTTACATCCCTCGCGGCGTCGCCGTACTTGCGCATATCGTCAATATATGTTGCCTCGTGCTTTTGTTGAGATGTTCTTCCTCTTTCTCACGATTCCTCCTCCCTTTACCTCTCTTCCCTTCTCTCTTCCCTCCTCTTCCATTGCTGCCAGCGCTGCAGTTTCAAGTACAATTCGCCTCAGTCGGCCTCATACGCACAGATATGTGTACGTACATATATACATATGTATATATGTATATACATACATATATATATACGTACATATACCGTACATGTATGTGTAAATACGAACCTGCGCGCATGCGTGTGTGTGTGGGTGTGGGTCCAGCCCTCAATGTCATGCAGATGTATTGTGCCATTTCCCAAGGAGGGCGATTCGATCAGGTAGGCTGCGAGCTGCAGCCCAATATTGGGCTGCCACCACGGGAAGGACCCATCCTGGGATTGCATCATGCAGACTCATTTATTTTCCTCTTTCATCCTGCGTAGTCAGTCCCTTCGCCTTGGCATCTGTCATCCTCTCTCGTCCTCCTTCTCCCCCGAGGCCTCCCCTTCCCTCACACCAGTCTCGGCGCTAGGGGTCTGCTCATTGCTTTCCCAGGCGCTGCCCAATGGCCTGGCGAGGAGGCCTCGTAGTTCCTCTGCCATCTTTCTGGTTCTTCGGGGCGTGGGTCCCCGCGCCGCGTCGGCATCACGTGCTGACGGCCTCGCTGTGGCGTCCGCGAGCTTCGAGGAGGCTTCGGCGCCACCAGCGACCTCTGCGGGCCGAAGTGCGTTGGATTGTTTAGCACATCCAGCAGGATGCCAACCTGGCTTTACAGAAAAAGAAAAACAGCTGCACTCTGCAGAGCCTCACGGCGCCATCTTACCAGCGAATTTCCGTCGTGCGTCCTTTGGAACACACGCTTGGGCAGCCAGCTACGTGCCAGGAGTAGAAGTTGAAGGACTGTGAGGAGTGCATGACGCCTGCGTTTCAGCACGCCCTCATAGTCGTGTTGAAAGTTGAGCTTCCTGGCCCAGTACCTTCGAGATGTCAAGGGAATTGCATGGCAACGTGCGTTGTTAGTCGAGGGGGGGCACGCATCCTATGGAGGCGGAAGCGTCAGCGCCGTGAGTTTCGCGAGTGCATTGTCGAGTCAGACGTTGCATGTCTTGCTCGTCTCGAGCCTCTCGGCTGGCGAAGCCATGTCTGCAGTCCTCCGGCGTTGCGCACTTGTGCGCGGCACTGACCATGGCCCCTACTACAACGATGCGTGCGTTCGACGTGCCTTGCGAGCTCAACAGAAGTCTGGGTGGCACGACTTCTGCGGTCTAGTTCCAGGAACTCGTTGGAATTGCAAACCCCTGCGCCGACGTGCGGGCCTTCCCGACGTGTTCCCACAGAGCCGCTGACCATTCTACTACACCTCATCTCCTCCCACAGGCCATCAACAAATTTGTTTGCCTCCGCCCCCGTAGAAATCTGGACCCCCTTTCACGACGCATGAATGAAGGACACAAGATCAGAGGGCGAGGGCGAACGATGGCATGTGGCCGTCCACCCTTTGTATTGCCGAGCCCAACTGGGGACACTCCCCTTCGCAAGCCTCGATATCTGCTGTCGTAGGTCCTTGGTCGGAGGGCGGTCTGGACACTGAGACGTGAGAGGCAACACCGGGCTAAGCGTAGCCTCCGTATATCATGCACGACGCCACCCGCCCACCTTCCCTCCGCCCGACATCCACAAGCGACAAAAACTTCCGCCTTGCACAGACTGTGACGCTGAAGGCGGACCTTGGGGAGGCCCTGGGCCATGGCCTACGTGGGGGGGGCTGTGCGGATATACGTGCGTGATGTATGCTGTATGGTGTCATCCTGGGCCGTCTTCGAAACATCGTTGTCGTTGGTCCGTGGCTCCCTTCTTGGACCAGCTTGGGTCTCCCAGCTCCCGGGCTCCTGTGGGCCGTCCGGGGCCTAAGCGCCTTCGTCGTCTTACATCTGGCCGAAGCCTTAGGTATGTTGCATGACTGCCGCCGACCTTCCTTCGGGATCCCGCTTCGTGCTGCAACGAGCTGGCAGGCCTCGCAGAGAAGGCGAGTTGCGGCGAGTTAGGAGTTAGGCCAACAAACGCATGAGAGTGAAGGGGGTGGAATGTGGACGTGGAAAAGGTTGGGCGGGTGGTGGAGGATGACGGGACGAGGAGGGGGAGGTGGAGGAGGAGGGAGGAAGAGGTGGATGAGGAGGAGTGCTCAAGCAGGGTCGAGAGCAGATTTTGAGCAACGAGCGGGCCGCCGCGATATTGTGGGATGAGAGTCTGGATCGGCGCCCCTACGACACGTTCGCCGCCCCGCTGCTGCCGTTGAGAACGCCGAGTTTCGCAAAGGTGGCCTGGGTGAGATTTTGAGGGTCAGCGGTGAGGTTTGACAGGGTCCCAGGGCGCTGGTGAGAAATTACGTCGAGATATGAACACATTATTCTACAATGTACAATGCAATATCAGGTGCAATCCCTGACAGGACATAGCGTGTGGAATCCGATGCGTCAGGAGTTGCAGCAAGCGCCTCCATTAGCTTTGTGTGGACAAACTCGTACGCCGAATCGTGGGTGAGGCACCGCCCCTTTGTCCTCCTCCTACGTCCCCCTCCTGCTCCTCCTCCTCCCTTTCCCCTCCTCCTGTCTCCTGGTCCCGCTCCCTCGCCCCATCCAGGGCTGGCGTGATCTCCTGAGCGCAACGGTCGCCTCTGTTGTAGTTCCGAGGGGGAATCTCAATTATTTCTGGCTGAATTCATTGGCCCGGGATGGCCGCCACACAGGCTGGTATTACATCATGGGTTGGAGCGGGCCCCTATTGGAGAATGGGCACCTGTCACCCGAATGCGATGTGGACGAAGAGATCGAATGTATCCTCGGCGACGCTATTGGTTAAGAAGTGGATCCTCGGCGGCGCGATCGGTTAAGAAACCAGACAGGCCTCCCGAGGATGTAGGAGGGAGGAGGGCAAGGGGGGAGGAGGGCAAGGAAGGAAGGGGGGACAAGGGGGAGCACGCCCGGTCCAACAGGCCTCGCCCGTTCACTCCTCATCCTCCTCCCCGCCCCCCCTCCGCCTCCTCCTCCTCCCTCCCTCCGCCCCTTCCCCTATGTCCCCCCGTCCTTCACCCACCGCCTTCTTCGTCCCGCATCTCTCTTCCTTCTCCCCCTCACCGACCTCGCCGCCTCCTCATCATTATCCTTCCCCTCCGTGTTCCTTTCAGTCCTTCTCGTCGGTCCACTTCCTCTTTCGCCTCCCTCTCCTGAACCTCCTTTCTCCTCCTTCCTCCTTTCTCCTTCCTCCTCTTCCTCCGCTTCCTCCTCCGTATGAATTTACAATTTGTCGTTGCCGTTTTCTGCCTCACGTCATGCCTCTGTTATCGGCCTTGGCATCACGCAACTAATCACTGGCCACTGGTTGCGTGAGCGTGGTAGCGGGGCAGGAGGATGATCGACGATGATTCGTCAAATCTACCTTTTTGAAAGTGTTGGCGAGCTTTTGCGAGATTGGGGCGCTGACCGCTGGGCCACTGAAGCTGCAATGCTGCCAATGTGGGCCTAGACCCATTGAGCCTCGACTACTCAGAATTCGTGTTTCGAAACCGGTGAAATCACTTGACCGCCGAGGCGGTCAGGTATCTCGTTGCACGGTCATCGGGTGGCTGTGCCGGCAGCCAGCGCGTGTGTATGTGCAGATTACAGAATTTGGTTAGGGCCGTTCGGCATTGGGACATTGCGCCGCTTGGGCCACGGCGCGGCTGCACCGCTGGGTAGGCGATGGTGTAATCGCTAACTGAGCAGATAACGCTCCGACGCCCCACAACACGAATGATATTGAGGATGAGATATGCAAGCGTTCGAATCTCGTTTATTCATCTGCGTACTGACTCTTGTGTTCATTGGAGCATATTTTGAAATAGACAATAAAACACCGCGAGCATGTTTCGGCATTCTGAATGACTCGCAGTGCGCAAGAAGAACACCCAGAAGTGATTTCAGAAGAGCGCAGCAAGAAGAGCAGCGGCGAACATACAAAACAGTCACACAAGGAGCATTTGTGGTGGTCCGCGTATGACGTACCTCCGCTGGGCCTCCCAGGAGCCCACGAAAGTGCCGACAGTTTCGCAGATCGCAGCCCCCCAGGGCACCGCGAGTTATAGTGGTGATCTGCGTATGACGTACCCCCGCTGGGCCTCCCAGGAGCCCACGAAAGTGCCGACAGTTTCGCGGATCGCAGCCCCCCAGGGCACCGCGAGCTCTAGTGGTGATCTGCGTATGACGTGCCCCCGCTGGGCCTCCCAGAAGCCCACGAAAGTGCCGACAGTTTCGCAGATCGCAGCCCCCCAGGGCACCGCGAGCTCTAGTGGTGATCCGCGTATGACGTACCTCCGCTGGGCCTCCCTGGAGCCCACGAAAGTGCCAGCAGTGTCGCAGATCGCAGCCACCAGGGCACCGCGGGCTACAGTGGTGATCTGCGTATGACGTGCCCTTGCTGGGCCTCCCTGGAGCCCACGAAAGTGTTGACAGTGTCACAGATCGCAGCCCCCCAGGGCACCGCGAGCTATAGTGGTGATCTGCGTATGACGTACCTCCGCTGGGCCTCCCAGGAGCCCACGAAAGTGCCGATATTTTCGCAGATCGCAGCCCCCCCAGGGCACCGCCGATCTATAGTGGTGGTCTGCGTATGACGTACTTCCGCTGGGCCTCCCTGGAGCCCACGAAAGTGCCGGCAGTGTCGCAGATCGCAGCCCCCCCAGGGCACCGCGAGTTATAGTGGTGATCTGCGTATGACGTGCCCTTGCTGGGCCTCCCTGGAGCCCACGAAAGTGCCGGCAGTGTCGCAGATCGCAGCCCCCCAGGGCACCGCGAGTTATAGTGGTGATCTGCGTATGACGTACTTCCGCTGGGCCTCCCAGGAGCCCACGAAAGTGCCGACAGTTTCGCAGATCGCAGCCCCCCAGGGCACCGCGAGCTCTAGTGGTGATCTGCGTATGACGTACTTCCGCTGGGCCTCCCAGGAGCCCACGAAATTGCCGATAGTTTCGCGGATCGCACCATCCCAGGGCACCGCGAGCTATAGTGGTGATCTGCGTATGACGTACCTCCAGTGGGCCTCCCTGGAGCCCACGAACGTGCCGACAGTTTCGCAGATCGCAGCCCCCCAGGGCACCGCGAGCTCTAGTGGTGATCTGCGTATGACGTACCCCCGCTGGGCCTCCAGAAGCCCACGAAAGTGCCGACAGTTTCGCAGATCGCAGCCCCCCAGGGCACCACGAGCTCTAGTGGTGATCCGCGTATGACGTACCTCCGCTGGGCCCTCCAGGAGCCCACGACATTGCCGACAGTTTCGCGGATCGCAGCCCCCCAGGGCACCGCGCGCTATAGTGGTGATCTGCGTATGACGTACCTCCGCTGAACCGCCCCAAGACAGCCTAAAAGGCGCCCAAGACGGCCCAAGAGGGCCCCAAGAGGAGCCCAAGATGGAGACCACGAACCGAAAATCCGAGCTTTCCGCTCCAAGAGGCATCCAGGACGCCCCAAGAGGCCCCCAAGAGGCCCCAAGAGCCGCCACTCTCTGTCTCTTTCTCTCTTTTCCCTCTCACGTCGAGGGGCATACCTGTCGCAACAGTTACACTGTGTTCATGGCCCCCGCATGAGCGTCCACGAGCAACGAGCCCCCACAAAGGCGTCAGGGACACCCCAGAGCGGCACAACCTAGAAGCCCCGTGGAAACAACGATTCCCCCGACACCTCCTCAGAAGGTCGACACGAAGCTGTTTCGCGGGGGCAGCTTCAACACCACCATCCCGAACGCAACGCCTCAGAAAAAACATGCGCCGACCCCTGCAGCTCCGCACTGCCGACGACCTCTCGCCCAATCGACCGCGGTGCCTCATCATGGGCCGGCGGAATGAGCGAAGCGATTAAATAATTGTTCACTGCGTGGAGCTCCCCATATTTGCATCTATTCGCGTTGACCTGTCCGCCGTGAGAGTCTAGGCGCAAGAGTTTTCGAATATAAAAGGCTTGAGTTGTGACGGTCTGGTCATGAATCTAATTTCGAACGGATTGGAGCGTGAATGAGTCTCGGTAGTACGAGCGCGTCTCTGCACATGAGCCTGGGGCCTCCTGGGGCCTCCAGAAACCTCCTGGGCCTTCTTGGGGTCTCCTGGGGCCCCTTGGGGCTTCGAGTGGCCTCCTGAGGCCTCCTGGAGTCTCGCGTAGCCTCCTGGAGCCTCCTGGAGCATCCTGGGACCTAGGGGGGATTCGTGCCCCAGGAGAAGTCCGATCTATAGGAACAGACTTACATAAAGCATTGCGGATTGGAGGCACAGGAGAAGGGCAGTCTATAGGAGCACACGTAAAATTTCAAGGACTCGTGTCCCAGGGGAGGCCCAATCTTTAGGAACAGACGTAAAACATCTAGGATTGTATACATAGGAGAAGGACACTATGTAGAAACAAACGTATAACATCAAGGATTCGTGCTCCAGGTGAGGCCCAATCTATAGGATCATGCGTAAAACACATGGGATTGGAGCCACTCCGGTTGCCTTCTGAGGCCTCCTGCTCCTGGGGCCTCTCGGGGCCTCCTGCTGCCTGGGCCTCCTGGCGCTTCCTGTGGCCTCCTGGGGCCTCCTGTGGCGTCCTGAGGCCTAGCTTCCTGGGGCCTCCTGGAGCCTCTTGGGACATCCTGTGGCCTCTTGAATCTTCCTGTGGCCTTCTGATGCCTCCTTGGACCTCATGTGGCCTCCTGGGGCCTCCTGAAGCCTGCTGGAGCCTCCTGTGGCATCCTGGGGAGAATATGTGCCCACGAGTCTGGCCACCAAAACAGGCAAACCGATCGAGACATCCTCCAAATCTGGCCCACTTTGGGGGGCGAAAATGAGCGCATCGCTCGAGACATCCTCCAAATCTGCTCCGAAAGTGGAGGATGTTGGGGACCAAAACAGGCAAACCGCCTGAGACAGCCCCGCCATTTGGGCGCGAACGGAGGCCGTGCAATACCCCTGGCGGCCCCCCCATAGGAGGCGCCTCGCACGAGACATCCTCAGAATCTGCTCCGAAAACGGAGGATGTTGGGGACCAAAACAGGCAAACCGCTTGAGACATCACCACCATTTGGGCGCGAACGGAGGCCGTGCAATACCCCTGGCGGCCCCCCCTTAGGAGTATTAAAACCAGCAAGCCGCTCGAGACATCCTCATCATCTGCTCATCGTCATCATCATCATCATCATCATCATCATCATCATCATCATCACCATCACCACCATCACCATCGCCATCACCATCACCACCACCACCACCATCATCATCATCATCATCATCATCAGCATCAGCATCAGCATCATCATCATCATCATCATCATCATCATCATCATCATTGTCATACTCATCCATCATCCACCATCACCATCATACCCACATCAGACTCTCACCGTACCATGGTCATCATCATGACAAGCATCATCATTGTCTAGTGCAGAGAGGGAGGAGGGGAGGGGCAGAGAGGGAGGAAGGGATGGGTGGGTGGTCCGGCGCGGTCGGAGAATAACAAGAACCCCGTTCTTTGGATATGGGGAATTATTGCATCATTTCCCAAGGATTAGCCAAGCGGGCAACTCACAAAGCTAGGAGGGCCCGCCTCAAGAGTCGCAATGGTGGGAGCCGCCGCCGTGGGAACCGTGGGGGCCGCCACCATGGAGACCACCTCCGCGGGAACCGCCGTGGGATCCGCCACCGTGGGAACCGCTTCCACGGGAACCGCCGCCGTAGCAGCCGCCCTCGTGTGAGCCGCCGCCTTGGGAGCCGCCGCCGACGGAGACGCCGCCGTGGGAGCAGCCTCCGCGGGAACCGCCGCCGTGAGCTGTCGTGGGAGCCGCTTCCTTGGGAGCCGCCTGCATGGGAGCCGCCGCTTCGGGGGCCACCGTGGGAGCCGCCGTCGTGGGAACCACCTCCGTGGGAGTCGCCGTCTTGGAGAGCCGCCGCCGTGGGAGCCGCCGCCGTGGGAACCGTTTCCGTGGGAACCGCCGCCTGAAATGGGCCGCCCAGCATTGCAAGTAGGAGCCGCCACGAGCGGGGCCGAAATCGAACACCACATACAAACCGAAAGGCAAGTTGAGCAGCACATGGACAGGCCGAGCCCATAGGCTGCCTGGCGCCGATGCCGCCAGCGCACGAGGGACACCTGGAACCCGAGGGGGAAAATGTAGGTGGACGTGAACGGAAGCATGAACTGCTGCACCGCCCAGTGCCACAACGCCGCATCATGTGCAGGATAATAGTCTATGGCCGCGTGGATGCCGAGTAACAATCAACGTGTACGTGGGTACAGGCGGGGAACCGACAACGCTGGTGTGCAGCACAGCACCAACATTGACTTCGTAGTGCATTGCGACGGATGTTGTTGCACTCCGCCGCGTGCCGCAGCACCTACGAATGAGACAGGAGCACCCTTTCAAGCACTTAAGGCCTAAAGGAGCCGAGTGGATGCTGATGCTGATGCTGATGCTGATGATGATGATGATGAGGATGGTGAGGATGTTGATGATGATGGCGATGCTGATAATGAAGATGGTGGTGATGCTGATGCCGATGACGGTGGCGATGGTGATGATGATCGTGATGATGATGTTGATGACGACGACTACCGTGATGCTGTTGATGATGGCGATGGCGATGATGATGATGATGATGATGATGATGATGATGATGATGATGATGATGATGATGATGATGATGATGATGATCATGATCATGATCATGATCATGATCATGATGGTGATGGTGATGGTGATGGTGATGGTGATGGTGATGGTGATGGTGATGGTGATGGTGATGATGATGATGATGATGATGATGATGATGATGATGGTGATGATGATGATGATGATGACGGTGGTGGTGGTGGTGATGAGAATGACGACGATGGTGGTGGTGATGATGATGAGGAGGAGCAGGCGGAGGAGGAGGTGGAGGAAGAGGAGGGGGAGGATGCGGTATGTGGAACATGTTGGCCCGGACATATCGTGATTGTTGTGGGGAAAATGAGGAGGATGCTGAAAAAGGGGTAAGAAGAGGACGAGGAGGAGGAGGAGGAGGAGGAGGATTCAAAGGAGGAGAAGAACGAGGAGGGAAAAGGAGGATATGGCAGGAACGGGAGGATGAGCATGGAAACGGTGGGGACGGCGGGGCGTCGTTGCGTGCTTCCCTTGTCGCTACAAGCTCTAAGTGTGCGGCGCAACTCAAATGCGCGCGTTGGCCCGCCGCGTCCCGCCTGAATTTCGCCCGGCGCCTAGGTGTGCGCGGCCGCCTTCTTCCCGAGGCCCGGGGGGGGCGGATCCCTCCAATGTGTTTCCTCCTCCTCCTCCTCCTCCATCCGTTCTCTTTTCCAGTAATTCCCCCCTTGTCGCACCCCCAGACGTGTGGATAGGGCTGGACGGGCGTTTCGCCAGAGACGTCCATTTCGTGATCCTGACGATCAAGTTCTTCACGCTTCGCGCATCCCCACCAGCCCATTCAGAAGCCCTGCCCACGAGAGCTGACGGGAAAAGGGACGAAGGGACACATCTAGGGAAACAAAGCGAGCAACCAGGATGAACCGAGAGATCTCTGGGAGCAAGGGGGTGGCCTTGGAAAGCCTCTTCGGGCCATCCCTGGGGGCCGCGTGAGGGCGAGGGGAATAGGAGGAGGAGGAGGAGGAGGCCTCTTGGGCCCCTCTTGGGGCACTCTTGGGGCCTCCTGGGAGCTTTGTGGGGGCCTCGTGGAAGGTTTTTGGAGGCCTTTGGGGGCTTCTTGGGGGCCTCTTTGACCGTCTTAGGGCGTTCCCGGCTTGCCTGACGCCGTCAGAAGCCATCCTGGGGGCCCGTCTAGGTCGTCTTGGGGCGCTCTTGGGGCATATCAGTGGTTCTTGGAGGACATCGTGGGCGTCTTGGATGCCTCTTGGGCCGTTTGGGGGCCCTCCTGGGGCTGTTTTGAAGGTCTTTTGGGCCGTCATAGGGGCCATCTTGGAGGCCTCTTGGGCGATCTTGGGGGCCTCTTGAGCCGTCTTGAGCCGTCGGAATGCCGAAAAGAAGCAACTGACAAAATCTGTGTGTCCTCCTGGAAGTCCTGGACGCTTTGGGGGCCATCTTGGAGGCCTCTTGGGGGCCTCTTGGGCCGGCTTGCGCCATCTTGAGGCCCTCTTAGGCCGTCTTGGGTGCATCTTGGGCCGTCTTGGAGGCATCTTGGGGCCATCCTAGCCGTCTTGGAGGCCATGTTGGCCGTCTGGGAGGCCTCTTGGGCCCTCTTGGGGCCGTCTTGGGGGCTTCTTGGGCCGTCATGGGGCCATCTTGGAGGCCTCGTGGGCAATCTTTGGGGCCGCCTTGAGCTGTTGGAATGCCGAAAAGAAGCAAATGCCACAATCGTTCAAACACGTTAGGGACACCACTGATGTTGGCCTCTTCGGGCCCTCCTGAAGGACCTCTTGGAGGCCTCTTGGGCCGTCTTGGAGACCTCTTGGGGGTTTCTTGGGCCGTCTTAGGCCATCTGGAGGCCATCTCAGGCCATCTTGGGTGCATCTTGGGCCGTCTTGGAGGCATCTTGGGGCCATCTTAGCTTTCTTGGAGGCCATCTTGGGCGTATTGAGGGCCTCTGGGGCCCTCTTGGAGCCCTCTTGGGGCACTCTTGGGGCTCTCTTGGGGCCCTCTTGGGAGTCCTGGAAGGCCTCTTGAGGCCATCTTGAAGGTCATCGGTCAAAGGAGGAGCTTAGATAACGTTCAGCCACCCCCCTCCCAAAGAGGCCAACGTGGTGCCAAAACCTTAGTACGAATAATGGTTGTGGTGCCCAGAGGGCTGGTGGGATACCGTTCAGCCCCCCCCCCCCCCCAAAAAAAAGAGGCCAACATGGGGCCAACACCTTAGTAAAACCAATGATTTGGGCGCCCAGAGGGCTGGTGGGGTAACGTTCGCCCCCCCCCCCCCCCCAAAGAGGCCACGATGGGGTCAAAACCTGAGTAAAAAGTAGTGATGTTGGCTTCCTCGACGAGGCCGTTTTGGACGCCCTGACACTTCGCGGGGCCCCCAAACAAAGTCCAGGGGAGGTGTAAGGGGAGGGGCAAACCCCTCCCCCCGTAGGGGGATAGGGTTTTTGTTTGAAGAGGGAAGAGGACTCTCGTTAGACCACCTGTCGCCCAAAGGGCTTGTGGGACTTAGCAGTGTTTCAAGGGTGGAGGGCGGGCCCTTGTCAAAATGCGATTCCCGCTTCAGCGCCGCGCACATTCGTTTCAAACGTTTGCAAAACATTCAAACGGTTGAGGGCTTGTCCTGTTGAATGTGGCTGTCGCATCAGCGCCACGCACAATCGTGTTCTAAAATGTTGCGTTGCAGCGGCTTCAAACCTTCGTGTTTGCAACAGTTTCAAGGATGGGTGATGGGCGTCTTCAAAATGTGGCCTTCGCCGCAACGCCGTGCACATTCATTTCAACAGTTTGCAACAGCGAGGATGAAGGGCGGGTCCTTGTCAAAACGTGTTTTTCGCTTTCAGGAGCGCGCACATTCGTTTCAAACGTTTGCAACAGTTTCTCAAGGATGGATGGCGGCTCATTTTTTCAAAATGTGGTTATCGTTTCAGCGCCGCGCGCATTCGTTTCAAGGATCCGTAGGCTTGAGGTCCCGGGAATGGTGTCCTGGCACTGTTTAGGATTGTCCGGGGGCAACCGTCAAGTTGATTCGCGGTGATGAATTTCCATGAATGGCGTCTTGGCGCGATTTTGGGTTGCGAGGACACAACCGTCATGTTGATTCGTGGCGCTGAAGTTCACGTTTGAAGGTGCTCCGTCACTTCTTTTTCGATTGGCCATCTCCCGTAATGAGCATACATTGGTGCAGGGACTTATGCAGAGGGAACTTGGAGGGTGTATTGCAATATCGTTGATGCGTCTTGACTTTACACTGGTCCTCCTCCCCTTCTCCCTGCTTGCCCTCTTCCTCCTCCTTCTCCTCCTACTCCTCTCTCCTCCTCTCCCTCCTCTTTTTGGTGCACCGTTTCCTCCTTTCCGCCGTCTCCTCCTCCCCTCCTTCTCTTCCTCCTTTTCCTCCTGTTCATCCTCTCGTCGTCTTTTTCTATCTCCACCTCCCAGTCCTCATTGGCTAGCGACGTCAACGCCCGCCATACTCCTAGCCAGTGGATTTGGCTAGCTAGGGCCTGTGTGCAACTGCCTTGTCCAGCTAGACGGAGGCAACGAGAAAAATCTTGATCACGAGGGCGCAGTCGAGGAATGGGAAGCAGACGTAGTGTCAACATCCGGCGCCAAGGGCAAGAACGCGCATTGATCGCCCTCGATAAGAAGCCACATACAGCATCAGGAATACACCAGCCGCATACAATACCAGGAGGCCCTACTCGAAGAAAAGATGCAAACATGTGTTGGACAGCAGCAGAAAGTGGATGATGAGTTGCCCGGTCTGGGCTGCGACCGCTTATATTGCCACTGGGAAATCTTTCAACTTGCAGCACCACGCATTTTGGGAAACAAAAAAAAGAAAGTGGATGGTGAATTCATCAACGTGCAGCAGCGACAACATCGCATGTGCTCTTGCTCTTCCTACTCAGCCTGCGATTAAGCCTGCGCTTCACGGTTTGGGCACGTCGGCGATTGGATGATATTTCAGTCGACCTCCCCTTCTGCTTGCACTTAGCATTGCACACCACGCAGGGCAAGGCATCAGCAGCAGTCGAGCGATTTCCTGGGGCTGACTCGGAATTCTAGACGCTTCGCGTATCCCCACCAGCCCCCACCGCAGGAGGGTCCCGCACGGGCAGGGTGACCCGTCAGGTCCCGTGACACTGCTCCGCACGTGGGTGATTGCCCCCTGGCTCTGTCGCCCCCTGGTGCCTACTCTCCAGCTGCGCTGGCGACGTTCATCCCCGCCAGTCCGGCTTCCCTTCCGCGCAATACGCGGTTCTCTACGACGTTCGCGTCGTGACCCTGGGGCCACGGGGCGAGCCCGCAGGTGCCCCACACTCGGGCCGGTCGGTCCGTTGCCCCTGCTCGGGAGTGGCGTTTCCCTGGATGGCGCCAGCGTCTCGGAGTGGTCCATCCTTCCGCCGGACAAGGTGCTTCCATTTCGTCCCACCGAGCCCAGGCAGGTAACGCCATCGTCATGGTAGAACCATGAGCAGCCATTAGCTGCATCCCTGGAGTTAGGGCCCGGGCTTCGGCCCTCCCCCTGTCCTCCTCCCGTCGCCAGGTGCCCCTGGTGTGCCCCTCCGCGTGGATGGCTGGTGATGACTGTCCCCACCGCCCCCCCCTCGGAGGTCCCACCCGGGCAGGGCGGGCTGCCAGGATTACGTGCCCCCGCATCACAACGGGGGTTCGTCCCCTGACGCGGCTGCCCCCTGGTACCTTCTTCAGCCACGCTGGCGATGTTCATCCCCGCCAGTCTGGCTACTGTCACACTCAGTGCGGCGCCTCACCACGCTATGACAGGCGGGTGACTGGGGCCAGGCCCAAAGGGTTCTCCACAGGGCCGGCCTGCTCCACGTGCTTGGGATGGTGGGCCCCGGGAGCCCCGCTGTCGCGTCGGAGTGGTTCAGCCTTCCGTTTCACGCTGCGCTTCACCCGGGCTCCGTCCCAGCCATTCAGGCAGGTCTACGACGTCACCTCGGTTGCTCAGCCCACCTAGCTGGTATACGCCGTTGGTACGGGCCTGGACGTGGCGCCCCGCTGGCGACTCGTTCATCGTTCACCTCGCCTTCGCGACCACCAGGCGTGAGAGGGGTGTGGGCATCAGCTCGCTTACGCTCTCGCCTTCACAGAGTGGTCCACGCCGCAGGGCGTACACCGAATTCCCTGGCATTTTGCTCAGGGCTGCACGATGCCTGAGCTTCCTTGGGTGCCATCAGCCAGTCAGCCCTCACCCTGCGGCTCAGCAGCCGCCTTGTGAGCTGGCTCGGCTGGCCCGTCCCGCGCCCTGCAGCTAATTAGGTCTGTTTCCGTGCCCCGGACAGCTTCTGTCTCCGCCTGCGTTCTTCGCTCGCGGACGCGACCGAACAAGTATCCCCACCAGCCCATCCAGAAACGATGTCCAGGCGAGTTGAGGTGATCAGGGAAGTGCGGCAGCAAAGATGAGGACGGCCGAACCGTGCAAAGGAGTGAGGAAGAGAAGGACGAGATGGATGGATGGATGGATGAGGGAGTAGGAAGAAGGAGGGTGAATATGATGAGGAGGAGTTGGAGGAGGAGGAAGAAGAGAAGAGAAGGAGTAGGAGCAGGAAGGAGGAACAGGAGGAGGAGGAGGGCAAGCACGAGGGCCAGAGGTCTCTTGGATGCCTCTCGGAGCCTCTTGGGGTATCTCTTGGGCGATTCTTGGTGGCCTCTTGGGACGTCTGGGGGGTCTCTTGGCGATCTTGGGGGGTTCTTCGGGGTCATGGGTGCCTCGGGGGGGGCCTCTTGGGGCCGCTGAGGGTCTTCTTGGGGTCATCTTGGAGGCGATCGATCAAAGAAGGGGGGTCCCCAGTTCGTACCGCCCCTCGGGAGCCCAAAAAATAGCCTCCTGGACCCCTCGTGGGGCGCTCTTGGAGCGCTCTTGGGCGCTCTTTGGGCCGTCTTGGGGCCCTCTGGGGCCCCTCTTGCGGCTATCTTGGGCTATCTTGGAGCCATTTTGGGCCTCGGAAGGCCATTGGAAGCGAACAGGCGAGAAGGCACAAATCATTTGTTTTCCTTATGTGTTTGAAGGATTTTAGCCTCTTGGAGGACTCCTGGGGAGCTATTTAGCCTCTTGGAGCCGTCTTGGGGCGGTCTTGGGGCCTCTTGGAGCATCTTCAGAGCCATCTTGATGCAGCTTGGCCTATCTTGAGCCATTTTGGAGGTCATCTTGGGCTTTCCGAGGCGCGCCGTCTTGGGCCATCTTGGGCGCTCCAACGCGTCGCCGCGCCCCCCGTCCAGGTCCATGGGAGGGGGTTGGGAGGAGGGGTAAACTCCCCCCCGAAGGGGAAGAAGGAGGGGTGGAAGCGGAAACTCCCTAAACCACCTACGCCCAGAGGGTTGGTGGGATTCCTCTATCCCCTCTCCTGCTTCCGCCTCCTCCTCCTCCTCCTCCTCCTCCTCCTCCTCCTCTTCCTCCTCCTCCTCCTCCTCCTCCTCCTCCTATCATGTCGTCGACGTCCGCCGACGCAGTCCATCGACAACAGTCACTTTGTCGACATCCGCCGACGACGACGCCGTCGACCGCGACGATCACGACGGCGACGCCGACGTCCGCCGACGACGGTGGCGACACGACCACGATGACAAAGTCGACGACGACGACGACGACGACGACGACGACGACGACGACGACGACGACGACGAGGGCGAGGACGACGACGACGACGACGACGACGACGACGACGACGACGACGACGACGACGAGGGCGACCTGCCTCAGGGGCGCGGCTCCGCGCAGAGGGATCGGCCGGGCCAGGCCCGCGCTGGGCGGACGACTGCTCGGCGGCGGCCCAGTGGCGTCCGGCGTGGGCGGGTGCCTCCTGGGCGGCGGCCCAGCTGCCTCTGGCGACGCGCCCCCCCCCCCCCCACTTCCCGGGGCGGCCCCGGGCGCCCTGCGACCTGCATCGGGGGCGGCCAAGAGGGGGGTGATGACTAGGGGGGGGTGGATCTCATGGCGTGGGCCATTATGTTTTCCCAGATTTCATGGCGCCTCTTCTTATTTCATTACGTCTCTGGCCCCCGTTTGGGTCGCGCACATGCCGCCAGCCATGATTCGCGCCCCCCCTTCTTGGACGCCCCCCTATTGGCCGCCCCCGACTGCACTTTGGGTCGTCGGCCCCGCAGATGTCGGGCCGTCGCAGCAGAAGCATTCTGCATTTCGGGCCTCCAGCGTCATGGCTGTGGGTTTTGGGCTTCGTGCTCTGGATCTTGTATTGTTGGATCTGGGATGTGGGATTATGTGATTTCCTGGCCCCCTGGATTCTTGTGGATTCTGACCTCTCGCGGGGCCCTCCCCTGGGCCCTGGGCGATGAAACTGGTCCGGGAGGGAGAGGTGCCCCTGGGGAAGGGGTCGAGACCTCGAGGGAGGAGTAAGGCGACAAGAGCGTAAATTGTCAAATCTCTCTGCGAATTTCTTCGGTCGGCGCTGGACGGACATGCCCACTCTCCTGGCGACACCTCCGGCTGCGCCACCGGCGCGGGAGGGGGCATGTACGGAGTGGGGGCCCGACGTGCCGACCCTAGAAACCCGTTGGGAACTTCAACAGTTGATGGCTATACGCTATATCCTTTGTGTTTGCTGTTCTTCCGAGGAAGAAGAGGGGTGTCGAAATGGATCGAGTGGGGATCGAGGGTCGCTGTTGTTGGGCCCTCGTGGCCAGGGCTAGGCGAGCCTCGAAAAGCTGGCCAGGATAGAGGTCAGGAAAGGTCTGAGGATGGATTTCGAGCGGATTTTGAATGGAGAGGAGGCAGGGAGGAGGAGGAGGAGGAGGAGGAGGAGGAGGAGGAGGAGGAGGAGGAGGAGGAGGACGGAGACGAGGGACGGAGGACGGGGGAGGACGGAGGACGGATAATCGAGGCTTGACAATCGAGAGCCGACGATAGATGAGGAGGAGGAGGAGGAGGAGGAGAATGAGGAGTAGGAGGAGAAGTAGGAAGATAGTCTATTTTCACGAAGGATCGAATAATCGAGATTAGAGGAAGAGGGGAAAGAGGAGGACGACCATGAGGAGGAGGTGGAGGAGGAGGAGGAGGAGGAGGAGTCGAGTAGGAGGAGGAAGAAGAGGAGTAGTAGGAGAAGTAGGAGGAGAGGACCGAGGATCGAGGTCCGAGAATCGAGGATAGCGGATAGAGGATACAGAACAGAGGATTAAGATCAGGATGACAGTCGAGGGCGTCGCCGAAGACAGAGGACCGTGGATCGAGGACCGAGAATCGAGAACAGAGGAGGAATGGGATCAGGGACTGAGACTGAGACCGACTACATCGAATCCCGGAGGAAACGCTCGGCTCAAGGACTGCGAACAAAAAAGAGAGTTCCTTCCTCGGCCTGAGGGGGCTCGAAAAGCGTGGCCTCCGCACGAACCCCACAGTACTCTGCTGCAAACTGAACAACAGCAGTGGGGGACAAAAAGCCGTGGAGGGAGACCACCTCCGAATCAATCAACTGGGGGAGCCTCAGCCCATAGACCGACGACGACAAGGCCGACGACGACGGACCAGCACGTTCCCCCGGCCCTTGAGATGCGGCGGCGGTGCCGACCGCCGCTTTGACAGCGCCATCCGCGCCGCGCGCCTGCGATCGCAGGCGGGGCGACCAGGCATCCACCTGCGCGGCGGTCGGGCCTGACACGTCGCCAATCACGGCCTGGACACGCCCTGGAGAGAACCCGTTCCGAAGCCAGGCCCGCTGGGTCCCTCACCGCCCGTGAGAAATTCACGGCCCCCGGGCCCGACCCCCAAAGCAAGTTCTTCTGCTGCAGGTCCCGCCGCCCGCTCGCACCCTTGGCTTCCGGGCCAGACTGCTTCGTCAAACCCAGTTCTTCCAGGCCCCGCGGCCTCATCGAATGCTTCGCTTCCAGGCCCGACCCCCCGTCGGACTCCTCCGAGCCCCGCCGCCCGTTCGAATCCTTAGCTTCTTCAGGCCAGACTGCTCATGCTCAATCAGATCCCCCGCGCCCAGGCCTCGCCACCTGGTTACATCCTTCGCTTTCAGGCCCCACTGCTCAATCCCCTTGCCGCCCGCTCGAAACCTTCGGATTCCTGGCCAGATTACACATTCAAGCCCCTCGCCTCCTGGGAGAGATTGGCGGAGTTTGCGCAAGGCCCAGTGTTTCCTCGCCTTTGGGGCCGCGCTTTCCGCCCTCGGTCCCCGTTTCCCAGTCCAGGGTGCCGTCGCGCCACTAAGCGCTGGGCAGCGGCGCGTCGAATGCCGCCGCCGACATGACATCGGGGTTGCCAAACCAGCCGCGCATTGCGCCCCTGCAGTTATCTGGGCACGCGAAGTGGATCCGACCGCCGGCGCGCCCTGCGCTGCCAGGAACGTCCTTGGGCGGCTCGGCATGAACGCCGCGTCGCAGTCGACCTTCGCCACCCAATCCATAGGCGTGTACCTGGACCCATCAGATCCGAACCTGATCGCCATCGGGGAGTGCAATCCAGTAATGATGCAAGTGCGGGTCTGTTTCCGCTTGGCGAGGTAGAAATTGTTGTCTTCGTCCTCCACCGCGATGATAGGCACGCCTGGCACACGTACGGTTTCGTCACTGAAGACGTTCCACTTTTCGCAAGCGAAGGCGCCGATCCTCCTGTCGCGCGCGGCCTTCAGTAGGCCCAGCTCGTCTGGTCGATTCGCAGGGTCGGCGCTGCCGGCGTCCACCATGCGCGCGGAGAAACAATGCGTCTTCGCCCCGGCGCGACGGCATCCGCGCGGGTGGGGCTCGTTTGAGGCTGCGGCGCGACGCAGGCCCTCGTTGCGCTCGGGGTGCAATTCTTCGCGCGCCGCGCCGAGCCTGGCGCGGCCGTCACGCGGCTCTTGGCGCCCGCCACGTCGCAACAACCAGCCACGAAGCAATCTTCCGAGAAGGGGCGCTTCTCGCGCGCTGGGCAGGCGACGACTTGAGAAGAACAAACAACCGCATAAACATATTCTTCCGAATGCCTGGGCGGATTTATCGAGTCCGCGGTGAGACCCCTCTACCGTGCGCACGGGACGCGCCGGGGGCTGCGCGGGAGGCGCAGCCAGGGGCCCCAGAAATCCACGCGGACCTTCAGCAGCTTCTCATGTTTTTCGGAGCAGGGCAAGTTGGGGCAACGGAGGCTCTCCATGGGGCCAAACGCACCAGTTGCCCGAGCTGCACACAGCCGTGGCGACAAGGGCCCCCCCAGAAGGCCAACTGTCGTTGCCTCAACTCGCCCTCCTCGAATTTGTTTACGCGATTTGATTTGTCGCTGCCCCCCGAGACCAGCAGCAAGCCCTGGTCCGGCATCGACGAGAGGAGTGGTTCATTGGGATCGGTCAGGCGGCCGCTCGCGAACGCGAGGGGCGCGAGCCCCGCGCCAACGGCCGACGTTTGCTTGGCGCTCCACCGTCCGAGCCGAGACGTCCGAGCCGAGCCGTCCGACAGCTCCGAGTCGCCGACCAGCTCGAGCTCCGAATGCGTCCTCCGCCCACTGCGGCCCCGCTGGGAGCCCGCTGCTTGCCGCGCTGGGCGTCTGAGCCCCGCGGTCGAGGGGCGGCCGCGAGGCGCGATGGACAGCCAGGGAAGCGCGAGGGGCGCTTCGGGCACCGCCGCGCGGGGGTGTTCGAGGACAGCCTGAGCGAGGGCCTCGGATCCCGTGCCAGGGATTCCCCGAACCTCCAGTGCATCGCAGCGATGTTTTTCTGAATTCTGGATGGGTGCCTTCTGGATGGGTGCCTGGAGAGAATGTCATAGAATCTCTTCCCGAAATATCATCTTTGAACCAAGGAGCGCTGGAAAGTGCGGGTCACCTCTGGATCGAATCAAGGGTTGCGCGCGGGGGAGGGGGCTTCTTGACTTGCCCGGGCGCTGCCTGCTATCCCACCCCATGCCAGACGCGCGCCAGAGAGAGTCGCGCCAGGCCCCGGAGGAAGAGGCGGAGGGTTCGGTTGATGTCTTCGCCCTCGTCCTCATCCCCCTCGTCCTCCTGTGACCTTCAAGGCACGGGTGGAGCGCTTACGCTCAGGCGACGACTCGCAGAAGGCGCAGCTCAAGACTCTCGGATCGCCGACGGCCTCCCTGGTCATGGCCGCTGTGGAGGCCCTGGTTCAGTGCGACATCGGAGGCAAGTGCAAGAAGGAGCTGAACACCTGGTTCACCCTGGCCAACGGAAACCCCGAGAGCGAGAACACCATCCCCAGGGCGGCGATTGAGGACGCCGCCCCCTTCATCAAGCTCGAGAAGTGCCACGACAACTCCCAGACGAAGGTCCTCATTGCCATGGGCGAGTGGGACCAGAGGCCCACCGTCCTCACAGCGCTGAGGTGCGAGGGCCCAGGTCTCATCCACACCGGCGTGATGCCCGCAGGCTGGCTCGAGGAGGAACTCTCGACGTGGCTGGAGGCGCTGGCGGTGTAGACGGACCCGAAGATCACGATCTGACGCCGCCGATGTTGCCCCAGACACGCGGGCCCGCGGCCCGCGACCTCTCTCTCCCTGTCCTTTTCGTTCGCTCGAGTTCGCCGCCTCGGGCGTCTCCCCAGCCTCGCACGCCAGTAATAGTGCACGCTGCAAGCCGCCCCGCACAGCCCACAAGCTCGGATGAGGCCCCCTGGGACTAGCCACGTGATCGCGAGGGTGAATCACAGAGCCCCGCAGGCCAGCCCGACCTCAGCGCTGATGAGGAAGCCGCTGCATGTCTAGGATTGTAAACCTCCGCCTCTCCCCACCCCGCGCTGCCAGCCCTGCTCGCCGCTAGAGGTCCTGACCGAACTTGCGCCCTGCGAGAGACGGGGGTAGCAGCCCACGGTGAGCGTTGATTTCCGGCTTTGATATGTGTGACACGGCCAGCGTCCATTCCCAACCGTGCTCCCAGCGGAGTAGCAAACCGCGGTCGCGAGGGTGAATCACAGAGTCCCACAGGTCAGCCCGATTTCAGCGATGATGAGGGAGCCGTTGCATGTCTAGGATTGTGAACCTCCGCCTCTCTCCACCCCGCGCTGCCTGCCCTGCTCGCCGCTAGAGCTCCTGACCGCGCCTGCGCCTTGCGAGATACGGGAGCCCGCCTCCCGTGCGACGGGATCTTTTCGAGTGGCCGAATCACGGCCTTTCAGTTTGCAGGAGAACTGCCCGATCAGGCGTTTGCACCATCCCTCATCAGGTCGACGTATAAAACTCGTCCTCCTGTCCTTCTGTTCCCCCTTATTCCCCCCCCCCCCCATCCCTCATCCTCCCCCCTCCTCTTCTCCCTCCCGCTCGTGTCCGTCTCTCATTCCCTTCTCCCTCCCATTTCCGCCCCCGTCTGTCCGTCCTGCTGTTTCTGCTAATGCTGTTCCTTCGCACCCTTTCTTCCTCTTCATGTAATGTTTCTGCTGCTGCTGCCGCGAATCTTCCTCTTCCCCCTGACCCCATCCCTCCGTTCGAGACCTCGGGCGTCTTTTGCCGGCCGCGGGCGGAATGGAGGGGGGGGGGCGCATTTCGAAAACCGGCCGACCTCAATCCTTGAAGTTGCGTCTAACGTTTACGGCGAAAGTGCGCGGCGCTAGGGTCAGAACCGCATTTTGAACGCGGGACCCCCTTTCAATCTTGAAAGCGGATCCAAATTTCAGAAAGAGCGTGTTCTACCGCTGCTGGCGGAAAACCGGGGGGGGTCACTACCGGTTCGAACCCCCCCCCCCCCCCCTCCGGAAAACCGGGGGGGGTCACTACCGGTTCGAACCCCTCCCCCCCCCCCTGCTCATCATGAAAAGGGGGGGGGGGGTCACTACCGGTTCGAACCCCTCCCCCCCCCCCCCCTCTCGAAAACCCAGTGGGGGTGCGGACAGAGGTGGGGACGGTGTTGGTGGGACAGTGGTGAGGGGATAGCGGGACAGTGGTGGGGACAGTGGGACAGTGGGACAGTGGTGGGGACGGTAGTGGTGGGGACAGTGGTGGGGACAATGGTGGGAACAGGGGGGGACAGTGGACAGTGGTGGTGACGGTGGTGGTGGGGACAGTGGTGTGGGGACAATGGGAATGAGGTGGAAACAGTGGGACAGTGGAGGGTACAATGGTGGTGGGGACAGTGGTGAAGGCGGTGGCGAGGACGGCGGTGGGACAATGGGACAGAGGTACAGTGGGGACAGTGGTGGGGAAAGTGGGGACAGTGGTGGGAACAGTGGGACAGCTCAGTGGGACAGCGGAGGAGTCAGTGGGACAGTGGGGACAGTGGGGATAGTCGGGCAGTGGTTGGGGCCGTGGAGACAGTGGGGAGAGTGGAACCGTGGTGGGAACAGTGCTGGGGACAGCGGGGACAGTGCGACAGTGGTGGGGCCACTGGTGGGGACAGTAGGGGCGGTGGTGGAACCAGTGGGGACAGCGGTGGTGAGGACAGTGGTGCTGGGAACACCAGTGGGGGATGTGATGCGGACGGTGGTGGGGACCGGGAGTCGTTTGCTGGCGGTGAGTAGGGGGGGGGGGGGGGGGGGGGGGGGGGGAGGGTTTCGAACCGTAGTGACCCCCCCCCGGTTTTCCGGAATCCGAAGGGGGGGGGGGGGGGAGGGGTTCGAACCGGTAGTGACCCCCCCCCGGTTTTCGAGCGGGAGGGGGGGGGGGGGGGGGAGGGTTTAGGGAGGGGGGGGTTTTGCCTGGGAGGGGGGGGGGGGGGAAGGGGGGAGGGGGTTCTGCAGGGGGGGGGGGATTTTCGGAGGGGGGGGGGGGGCGACCCGGGTTCCGGAGGAAAAGGTTGGCAATTTTCCACAGTAAAGCGGCGGTGGATCACGCTCTCTCAAATTTCAGGATCGTAAACAACGGGGGGGTTCCAGGCGAAACGAGCGGCACGCCCCACGGCCGCGTCTGGGGGCCCGACAGGAAGGAGTCATTCATAAGGACCGGGGATGGGGAAGGAAGAGGAACACTACGAACGGGAGGTGGACGACCTGAGAAGTGATGTCCGACAACTAGCACTGGAAGGGCAAATTGGCGTTTTGGGCAAGACAGGCACATCTTCCAAGCACATGTCAGACGGGGGGTGGCAGTTTTGGGTCCCTCGGGGGCCGCTTCCCTGCACCGCCCCCGTTCGCTGCCCCCCGCGAGCGCCCGTCATGGGGGGGAGGAATGCCCCGGCTGCTCGAGCTCCCGGGCCGCGAAAACAATATTTGCACAAGCGCGAATTTTCGGAGCTCCGCGCGGATTTTGCTAATGGGCGCTGGGTTCCCCTGGGGGCGCCTGCGGCGCCGCCCCTGGCGCGCGGAGCGCGCCATGGAATGGAGGGGGGTCCAGTTACGGTTGTTTCATTTGTTCTTTTTCGTTTTCAGCGTAACAGCCTGGGAACCCGAAAACGGATCCGAGAGACAACAGATAATACAACTTCGCCTTGGTGATTGAAGGGCGCTGAAAGTGTGGGTCGTCGCTGCAATATGGCTCGGCCGACATTGGCCTTGGCGGCCGCTCGGGTGAACCCGAGGGTAGGGGCTTCTGCGGCGCAGCTCGGGGTGCCCTCGCGGACGGGGGCGCCTCGATATATATAGATATATATATATATATATATACACACAAACACACACATATATATATATATATGTATATATATATGTATATATGTATATATATATATAGAGAGAGAGAGAGAGAGAAAGAGAGAGAGAGAGAGAGAAACAACAAAAAAAATAAAAAACAATTGCGGTGGAGGAGGGGCGCCTTTCGTACGCGGTGGGCCCGAGGGTGTCTGGCCCTAGAGGAACAAACGACGGCCCCGCGGAAAGGGTCGATGTCCCCGCGGGCCTACGTCAGAGAGAAATAGCGCCGTCGGAAGGAGGGCAATGCGAGATTGGGAGGCCACGAGCAACGGCAGCAATCAGGTCCATCAGCTGGGCGGCCACGGCCATGAGTCCTGGAAAGCTAGAGGACGGGCGGCGCGCTGATGTACGCCCACGGCGTTTTTCCGCCGAGAAAGCTACCTGGTTCTCGCGCCGCTCCTGGGCCACGTGGTTGGCCGTCGTTCCTGAGCAGTCCTCCAGCAGCGAGGCCCCAAGACCCCCAGGGTCAAACGTTAGCGTTTCTGTTCGGCGTGAGCCGCGTAATCGCGGCGCCCGCACAGCATGCGGCGCACGATCTGGCCGTCGCCAGGGTAACCCCCCTTGCCACCGCAAGCTGTGATCACAACGCGACTGATTGGCTAACCTTTCCAATCTGCAAAAACCGAGCGAGAGCTCAACAGCCACTCACCTCGAATAACGCTGTGCATGCCCCTCCCCCCCACGAGCGTGAAAAACACGTGGCGGAGTGCACGGGCAGTCGCGCGTGAGTTGTCCGCGATGGGTCGCGCGTGAGGGCTGTATCTTCCACGCGGCGTGCCGCGCTGGCGGCCTATGTGAGCTTTCATGTAAAGTCGCCGTGTGCTATCGCGTAGGGCCCCGCTCTTTCTGTTCAGCGCCCGCGTGGCTCCCACACGCCTGCGCGCCCCGAAAACGTGCGCGCGGAAGGCCCAGCCTTGAATCAAAATGGCCACGGGGGACGAGGAGGGGCCGCAGCATCGGGAGGAGGAGGAGGCGGTGCGCGGCCCCCGGGCGCCGCAGGCAAGCTGGATACGCCAGGTTTGTCGACGCCGGCGCCCAGGAGCGTCGCGACCCCGCCACACCCAGCACCAGGGCACGGGCAACACATGCAGGTGTACGGGGTTCGTGTTGCCCTCTTCCCTCGCTTTTCTTGTTCCTGATGCTTGTAGTAAGCGTGCGCAGCCACATATCCATACATAACATAATTGTTATCCGTAAGGGCTTCGCCCCCTGCCGCCAGCCCTCACTCTTTCAGAAGGGGATGTACCAGGGTCGCGTCGGTGCGTCTCGGCGGTGCCCTGGCGCATCTGGGAACATGCTGGGGGCGGATAGGGATCATCAGCGCATATTGAGAAGTTGGTGTTATCGAAGACGCATACGGCGAATCACCGCGGCCCCCTGTCCCTTTGGAAGCGCCTATGTGGCCGACAGCTGGGCTAGAGCTTGGCCAAGCTATCGGGCCAGTTAATCCCCGAGTCAGTTTGGAAAGCCTTCGGGGAACGCGTGGGGGAGCAATAGGAGGAGGATCAGGAGAGGGAGGAGGATGATGATTAGAAGGAGGATGAGAATGAGGATGAGGATGATGGGGAAGAAGGAGGAGTATGAGGAGGAAACTTCTTGGGAACCGTCTTGCGAGGCCTCTTGGGAGCCTCCCTGGGCCTCTTGGGGGCTTCTTGGAGGCCTTTGGGGACTTCTTGGCGGCCTCTTTGGTCGTCTTATGGCGTTCCCGACCCGTCTGACACCGTCGGAAGCCGTCTCGGGGGCATCTCTGAACCGACTTGGGGCTCTCTTGGGGCGCTTCAGGGCCGTCTTGGAGAGTACATTGGACGTCTTAGAGGTCGCCGTCTTGGGGCCTCCTGGGCCGTCATGCGGCCATCTTGGAGGCCTTTTGGGCGATCTTGGGGCGACCTTGGGGACCTCTTGGGCCGTCGGAAGGCCGACAAGGCGCAAATGCCAGAATCTTTCGAAAACCCACGAACAACAACAATGATTGGAGCCTCTTCGGGCCTTCCTGGAGGAACTCTTGGAGGCCTCTTGGGCCGTCTGGGAGGCCTCTTAGGGGCCTCTTAGGCAGTCTTGGGCCATCTTGAGGCCATCTTGAGGCCATATTGGGCCGTTTTGAGTGCATTGTGGGCCGTCTTCGAGGCCATTTTGGGGCCATCTTAGCCGTGTCGGAGGCCATCTTGGCCGTCTTGGAGGCTTGTTGGGGCCGTCTGGGGGCCGTCTTTGGGGCCTCTTGGGCCGTCATGGGGCCATCTTGGAGGCCTCGTGGGCGATCTTGGGGCGATGTTGGGGGCCTCATGGGCCGTTTTGAGCCGTCGGAATGCAGACACAGAGCAAATGCCAAAAATCCTTCAACAACCTAAGGAAAATCACTTATTGTGATCTCTTCGGGTCCTCCTGGAGGACCTCTTGGAGCCTCTTGGGCTGTCTGGGAGGCCTCTTGGGAGCCTCTTGGGCCATCTTGAGGCCAACTTCGGCCGTCTTGGGTGCATCTTGGTCCGTCTTGAAGGTTTCTTGGGGCAATCTTAGCCTAGTAGTAGTAGTAGTAGTAGTAGTAGTAGTAGTAGTAGTAGTAGTAGTAGTAGTAGTAGTAGTAGTAGCAGTAGCAGTAGCAGTAGCAGTAGCAGTAGCAGTAGCAGTAGCAGTCGTAGTCGTAGTCGTAGTCGTAGTCGTAGTCGTAGTCGTAGTCGTAGCCGTAGTCGTAGTCGTAGTCGTAGTCGTAGTAGTCGTAGTCGTAGTCGTAGTTGTACTCGTAGTCGTAGTAGTAGTAGTAGTAGTAGTAGTAGTAGTAGTAGTAGTAGTAGTAGTAGTAGTCGTCGTAGTAGTAGTCGTCGTAGTCGTCGTAGTCGTCGTGGTCGTAGTCGTAGTCCGTAGTCGTGTCGTAGTCGTATGTAGTAGTAGTAGTAGTTTGTAGTAGTAGTTGTAGTAGTAGTAGTATTTCGTAGTAGTTGTAGGTGAGTAGTAGGTAGTAGTAGTAGTAGTAGTAGTCGTAGTAGTAGTAGTAGTAGTAGTAGTAGTAGTAGCTGTAGTGGTAGTAGTAAGTAGTAGTAGCAAGTGGTAGTAAGTAGTAGTAGTTAGTAGTAGTAGTAGTAGTAGTAGTAGTAGTAGTAGTAGTAGTAGTAGTAGTAGTAGTAGTAGTAGTAGTAGTAGTAGTAGTAGTATTGTAGCAGTAGTAGAAGTAGAAGTAGTAGTAGTAGTAGCAGTAGTAGTAGTAGTAGTAGCAGTAGTAGTAGTCGTAGTAGTAGTAGTAGTACTAGTAGTTCGTAGAAGTACGTAGTAGGCAGTAGTGTAGTAGTAGTAGTTAGTAGTAGTAGTTAGTTTCGTTAGTAGTAGTAGTAGTAGTAGTAGTAGTGTAGTAGTAGTAGTGGGGTAGGTGGTAGTAGTTAGCGTAGTAGTAGCAGTAGTAGTGGTAGTAGCAGTGTCGTAGTCGTAGTCGTAGTCGTCGTTCGTCAGTCGTTGTCGTTTTCGGTGTTAGTCGTAGTAGTAGTAGTAGTAGTCGTAGCAGTGGTAGTAGAAGGTAGTAGTAGTAGTAGTAGTAGTAGTAGTAGTAGTAGTAGTAGTAGTAGTAGTAGTAGAAGTAGTAGTAGTAGTAGTAGTAGTAGTAGTAGTAGTAGTAGTAGTAGTTGTTAGTAGTTAGTAGTTAGTAGTTAGTAGTTAGTAGTTAGTAGTTAGTAGTTAGTAGTTAGTAGTAGTGATAGTCAGTGTATAGTAGTAGTCAATAGTAGTAGTAGTGTGTTGTGCTAGTCGTAGTCGTAGTAGTTAGTAGTAGGTAGTAGTAGTAGAAGTAGTATTAAGTAGTCTAGTGTTGTAGTAGTAGTTAGTCGTTGTCGTTAGTCGTAGAGTCATAGTAGTCAGTGACAGTAGCTGTAGTAGTAGTAGTAGTAGTAGTAGAAGTAGTAGAAGTAGTAGTCGTCGTCGTCGTCGCCGTTTTCGTCGTGGTAGTAGGTAGTAGTAGTAGTAGTAGTAGTAGTAGTAGGTCGTAGTAGTAGAGTAGTAGTAGTAGTAGTAGTAGTAGTAGTAGTAGTAGTAGTAGTAGTAGTAGTAGTAGTAGTAGTAGTAGTAGTAGTAGTAGTAGTAGTAGTAGTAGTAGTAGTAGTAGTAGTAGTAGTAGTAGTAGTAGTAGTAGTAGTAGTAGTAGTAGTAGTAGTAGTAGTAGTAGTAGGACTCGTAGTCGTAGTCGTGGTCGAAGTAATACGATAGTAGCAATACCATTCGGAGGAGGACGAGCAGGAGGAGGAGGAGGGGGAGATGGAGGGGGAGGAGAAGGAGGACCACGATCAGGAAGAGGAGGTGGATGGGCGGAGCGTGGTCCCCGCCGAGAGAAACAGAAGGGGGGGCACAACATTACAAATCTCCAAACGTTACCCCCCTTGATGCACCGAGGGGACCCCCTCGGTTTACCTGGCCACCCCTTGGTGCACCCCCCCTGGTTTGCCGGGTGCCCCCCCTTGGCCCTTGGCGCCCCCCATGACACAGACGGGTCCCGAATGGAACGTGCCCCGAGGTCCTGCGCCGTTTTTAACGTGCTTGCCCTAGGGGATGGGCTGGGACCGAGGATTGAAGAACCGATTCCTTGTGTGCCTCGTATCATTTTTGGCTCTCCTATGTATGTATACCCCGTTCGCCTCCACCGATCGCACGCAGCGTGCGTCGCCATCAGAGCGCCGCCTGCGTTGTAGCTTGAATGGCAAAGCTGCGTAGCTGTTGTAGCACAGTTCTGAAGATTTGTACGCGAACCGCATGTGGCGTTGAATCGCTAGGATCCCCGGTCGTTTCACGCCCGTTTCTTGCAACCCGGCCTTCTTGGAGACCAGCGCGCCTGACGCTCCTGCCGCCCTTCTTCGGTCGCTTCAGGGCGACTGCGGACTCGTTCGTTCGCTCCTTCGCTCAATGGGCAAGCGCACTTGGCGCCAACACGCCACCGGGGGATCATTGAACCCACCTTTGGGCCCCGTGCTGACGTTGCTTGACGAGGCCCCACAAACTTTGCGTTGCCCGCCCCGCGCCCGCCGCACACCTTCCTGCCGAGGAACCCCTGGTCGGAGGTCCTGCTGCGGGTCCGCGAGCAGCTGCGGGCGGGCCTCGTCTTCGAGGCATCCGAGGAGCTTCAGGCGCAGCTCACGCGCGCGCGGCACTGGCGTGCTCCGGTCCGCACTACAGATTCCCGTCGCGCCGACGCGGCACCGACCCCGCCGCGAGCGTTGGTAGAACGCCAATGGCCCAGAATTTGCCAATATGAAGCGATCCAGCGATCGAGAAACCGAAGAAAGTTCAAGGTTGAACGATCCAAGCGGTGTCAGAAACCATCGCCGTGGTTGTCACGACACGGACTTCCCGTGCGCTTTGGATGTACCGAGGCAGCTCTCGGTCCGCCTCCCGTTGCTCCTGCTCGTGCTTCTTTCCTCCCTGTCGTTCAAAGACGCTGTGGCTGGCAAAGCTCGCTTTCTCTTTTCCCCGCGCACGCTGCGCTTGTCAAAGCGTTCCACAACGTTCCAAAACGAACCGTTCTGAGCGGTATCGGTACCTCTCTGTCTCCCCAGTCTTTCGCCAACAACACAGAAGAGAAAATAACGGCATGAATATGATTTGTTTGAGATCCGCGCGGATCTCTGCTGGAACCTCAGGCGGCGCCAGAGGTGCAAAGACGGCACGGACTTCAAAAAGCAATGTTTTTTCCACTCCTGCTCATGCTTCCGCCGCCTCATGCTTGTTATCCTGCATCAGCTCATCTTCTGGCTGCTGCCACTGCTGTTCCTCCTCAATCTGATGCGTATCCTGCCCTTGGTTGCCCGAGGCCTTGGGCTCGCGCGGGCATTCGTGTCTCCATCGCCCGCTCGAGAGCACGGCGGGCGCGGCGACGTGTTGGCCGCGGCAGACGCGCGGCGGCGCGCCTGGGGGGTTCTGCAGAGGAGACGGGCCTTTCCAGAAGGCTCGGAAGGACTCGGGCCTGCTGAGAAGTTGTCAAGCCTTCTCCGAAGACAGAAACGGTTTCTCAGAAGGCTGGAGGGCTTCTGAGAAGCCCCGCCGCCTTTGAGAAGGCCTGCACCCTAATTATCGCTTCCCCTCACGCGCGCCGCCGAGACACAGTTCCGTGCCTCGAAGTTTGCGGTCCCCGTTGCCCCTTTCTGACACCTTCCCTGGGGGAGACGCACCGTTCGTCTTCGGAACGCTGTCGTTAGGACCACCTCTCCCGCTGCGGCGGAGCGCGAGCCAGACTTGCAGCCCGACGCCCCATCTGTCGTCGTGCTCGAAATGTGGCGCGCGGCGGGCACCGATGGCGTCGTGGCTCTGCAGGGCGGTGCGGCTGGGCGTTCTGGCATGATGGTACGCGGCGGCTGCACGTGCCCTCTCGCATCCGTCGCAACACCCTCGAGTTCGGCGGATCTTTCGATCGGACGTTGCGAGAAAATGCAGCATCGTGAGCAGAAATCACGACTGGAGCCCTGAACCACATCTTTTTGCTGCATTTTCCACGCAGGATTAATTTGTGATGGTGTCGGGGCCCGAAACAAAGCACAATCGCCCGTTGTTACTAAACGCGACGCTAGGATGTCAGGGTAGGTCCGTAGCCCCAGGCGGAGACGGTGCCGCAGGGGCGCGGCCGCCGAGGGGCTTCATCCCCAGCCGTACGCGGACGCGCCCGGGCCCGCCCGTGGGGTTTGCTCAGCATGAGGGCGACGCTCGCGGAGGGCATCGGATGTCCCCGACGGCGGCGACCCATGCACGCGCCGAGAAGCAAGGGGGGCTCTTCGGCATTCCTTGAGGACGGATCACACGAGCCTCTTTGGCTGAAGGCGGCACCACCAGGTCACAGGGCTGCGCCGCTCTGGGTTTGAACCCGTCCGCTCACTTCCCACACCTGCGGCGTCATGAGCTCGGGGCGCGGCACCCGCCCCGCCGGAGGCGAGGCGCCGCAGTCGCCAGAGCCCCGCGCGGTTGTTGTGGGCAACCCGCAGGGCTTGGCCGATGGACCTCCTCCCGGTGCCAATACAGGGACGGGCAGGGTAATCGGTCTGGATTCCACATCAGACACTTTGTGGGCGTTGCTGTCAATGTTGGTCTGCGTTGCTGCCTGCGCACTTGCCGGTGGCAGCTTCAGCGCTGGCGCATACCCGTGCGTGAACGACCAGGAGGCGCACGACGAGTGGTACATTCGCACATGGAAGTGCGTAGCCCAGGGAACGCCCTGCACCATCATTTTAGCTTGGAGCATGGGCTGCCGCACACGATTCTGGAGAGACCTGCCCCTGCACATATTCGTAATCGCGCTCGTGGTCATGGTAGTATGATATCCAGTTGCTTACGGCAAGTTCTGCCAGCATGTGAGCTCAAGTCCTTTGGTGGTGATTGTTCGGATGATGATGATGATGATGATGATGATGATGATGATGATGATGATGATGATGATGATGATGATGATGATGATGATGATGGTGGTGGTGGTGGTGATGATGGTGATTGTGATGATGATGATTATGATGATGATGCTGATGCTGATGATGACGATGACAATGATGATGATGATGATGATGATGATGATGATGATGATGATGATGATGATGATGATGATGATGATGCTGATGATGACGACGACATTTTTATACTTCCACATCTGGGCTCTGTCTGTCAGGACTAGCAGGATGGCGAAACGTGTGCAGACAATTGCTGGTACATGCCATTTGCTGGTGAACCCGTGGCTAGCGGAGGGGCTAAAACTCGCGAGGCGCGGCGTGCACACACGGGGCTCGAGCGGCGAGCAGAGCGGGTGTGCCAGGCCTGGTGGGAAATCAAATGGCGAGAAATGCGGCAGCCTCGGCATCGGCTTCATATTCGTCTTCCGTCTGTGGCGGAAGTGCTGCAACTAAGGTCGGACTGGGGGCATTCCGAGCAGCGGGCTCAGAGAAGAGAGGAGGAGAGCTAGACCTTACAGCTCCGGAGTGACCGGCCGGGTAAACGTCACCACATTCAGAAGGGGGAGGAAGAGAGCTAGACCTTACAAATCGAACGGGCCTGCTCAGAGCACCTACTTCGACAGGGCGTCGACCCAGCATGACAACTCCTCCTCCAGCCAGCCTGGCGGCGCCATCCCCGTGTGGACGGTCGCCTTGCCGTCGTTCCTGACTGCCTCCAGGATGGTCGAGCGCATCGGGCAGCCGCGCATGGCGACGATGAGCTTGGTCTCGTCGGGCTTGTAGCACTTCTCCAGGCGCAGGATGGGCACCTCGTCCTCTAAGTCCTCGCGGCTGATGCAGATCGCCTCGTCCGCGGTGCCGTTCACCTTGTCCAGCCACGTCTTGAGTGCTGCCTTCGACTTGCCGCCGATGTCGCACGTGCTGAGTGCCTCGAGAAAGGCCACGAACAGGCTGGCGGTCGGCGCCCCCAGCGCCTTCAGTGCCTCCTTGGAGCCCGTCTCCTGCTTGCGGAGCTTGTCCACCTCGCCGCGAAAGTTGTCGACCTCGTCGCCGATGGCCACTATCACGGGGTGGGTCGTCGGGAACACCATCGTGTCGATGGTCGCCGCCGAGTTCATGCGTGTCCGATGCGTGTTCTGTAACACCAGCTTCGCGATGACTAGAAGAAACTCCGCCAGGTTCTTGTCTTTCGATGTCCAGTTCTTGTCCGAGTGTTGGCCGCGGCGGCGGCGGCCGCCTCGGCGACGACGCCGAGGCTCCTCTGGTGCTCCTTCGTCCGCGGCCGCCGCCTCCGCCGAGCCCCGACCCTCTGCTGGTGCCTCCCGCCGCGCTTCCTTCGCGCGCGGCCCGCTCGGCTCGTTTGGCTTGCCACCACTGCCAGACCCCGCTGAGGATCTCGGGAGGCGCCAAGCTGCCCGCTGGGTGCCTGCCATCGTCGCCATCAGGGGCTGCAGCAGGTAGCACAGGCAATGCAGGTGTAGTAGTCGCTCGAGCTGGCGTTGGTGCAGGTGTAGTAGTCGCTCGAGCTGGCGTTGGATCCGCTGGCGATGTTACCGCCGATGCTGCAGGCCGGGGGTGTCGATCGCGAGGCCGACGAGCAGGTAGACCCGCAGTGCTCGGAGGTGGGGGAGACAGCAGCAGCTGAGAGGCACGCTGTACCTCCTGTCGTGTACTGGCCGTATCAGAAGGCGCCCACGTCGATCGCGGCGCGCTAGCTGTAGTGGAAGAGCGGGGATCCCCCGCGGGTGCGCGCGCCGCGGGCACGCGAGGCTGTGCCCATGGGCCAGATGGTGACGGAGGGATGTGTGAGAGAAGGTGCTTCCGAAACATTCCCATACTCTCGAAAGGGGACTGGCACTGGTGATTCTCGGAGACCTGGGAGTACGGGCATAAACGAATACTAGTAGGTTTCCACTCATATACGTGCCGAGTCTGGTTGGGTAAACAGCGTGCCTGGAGCCAGGACCGACGGTGATGTAATACTGTGTGCTCGATACACGAAAACACCGTTCTACATACAAGGCACTGATTATCCAGGGTAAGGGTGGTCAATATGGGGGGCCAGCCATGTCCTGGAGCTTTAGAATGCACTTGGTGAATAGTGAGCTTATGTAAATTCTCGAACCGCATAGTGCACCCATCCAGACCACATATGAGTAACAACTCCTCCTCATCAGAGTCGTCCTGAATCGTGTCGTCCCGAGGAAGGTGTTGCGCCACAGACGAGTACCCTGGAGGGGCCCACGACTTCGAGAGGAAACTGGATCGAAGAACACGAGGATCGCAAGCTCGAAAAGCATCGGATACATGATGATTGTGGAACAAGTCTCGGACCAGGGGGGGGTCCCACTCGACCTTCAACCTCTCTCCCGCGGGGTGTTCAAGCAGACATGCAAGATCGTCTCGTAACTGCCTGAGCCATGGATGCGTGGAGGGAGCAGTACTCAATGTACCGTTGTCCGCGATCGAGGGGGCCACCTGTCCCTGGCCGACTGTCAGCTCGAAGGTGCACTGGCCGAAGAAAGCTGCTAAGAAATGCGAGTGATGATTAGGCTCCGTGACGATCTGTTGCCACCAGGAGAGGCGGCGCACGAGGAGTTCAATCGATGTAGGAGCCATTGACCAGTGTTCGAATACCTGACGCGTTGTCCAAGACTGGTGCCTGCCCTCCTCGGACTCCTGGTGTGCGCGCCCCATAG